TCCAAATTGCCTCGAAAATGGGATTAGTGATCGCATCCCTTCCGAAAGAAAGAATACTCGGGCATCATGCCGAGGGCTCTACTGTCAGGACAGTAGAGCCGTGGTGGTGGTAGAGGATTCAGATGGGATATATGCATGCATGAGATAAGTCGGCCGAGGAAGATTTTCGTAAAAAAAAAAAAAAAAAAAATTAAGCAAAGCAGCTTTGACCCAGCCTGGAGTCGAACCGGTGCTCCCGCAGAACTACCTTCCACGTGACGACTTCAATAGATATTGCGAATGCGAGACCTCCCGCCACCGGGTCCTTCCTACCCTGCTGAGATACTACCCTGCATTAGCGAGGACTTTTCTAATCATCGTAGTGGATCAGACACACCTGAAAGCAATATAGTAATTGTAAATCACAGTCGAGGAAGCCTCAGGACGATAGAACTGTGCTGCACGCGCGAATCAACGCGGTATCAAAAGAGAACAAAAAAAGACTGTCATCAACGTATGACCCAGCCTGGAATCGAACCAGGTCTTCCCGCTGAACGAAAATATTCACCCTTAATCAGGAGGGCCGCGAGACCTCTCGCCACCGGGTCCTTCCTATCCTGCTGAGGTACTCTGGGTTATTGAGGACTTTGGTGAGTGGAGTCGAACGCATTCGAAGCTAATTAGGGAATTGAAGATTCAGAAGCATTGAATAAAACGCCTGGTGCATGCGCGAGTCAACGTGGGGTAAGAGGAGAACCAAAAAAAAAGGAAACCGCGCCACGGCTTATGACCCAGCCTGGAATCGAACCAGGATCTCCCGCTTAGAACAAAGTCACCATTACCATTCAATCGGGGCAGGCGCGAGACCTCCCGCAACCAGGCCGTTCTCTACTTGATGGTGAGCACGCTGGTGTTGACTGGATCTTGCTTCCGCTGTTCTAAACCGAGTTGAGTTGTCCTGTAGATAGCATTTAGCGATTCCATTATTTCCGGAAAAAAAACGGGGGCATCCCCATTCCGAGGGTTCAACGTTCAACTGTCAGGACAATAGAGTTGTGGTTAGAGGATGCAGATGCGACATATGCGTGAGATAGTACTTACGCCGAGGAGGAATTTTGAAAAAAGGATTGAAACTCGAAACCATGACTATGACCCAGCCTGGAGTCGAACCAAGTCCTCCCGCTCAACCCGACGTTGAACATTTAACTGCGGCAGGCGCGAGACCACTCGCCACCGAGTCCTTCCTATCCGACCGAGATACCTTACATTAGCGAGCGCAGTCGAACACACCTGAAATTGGTTTAAATTTTGAATTGTGTCGTGTCGGACGACGGTACTAGTGCTGCTACGTGCACGCGGGATAAGAAGAAAGGAAGAAAAAAGAATATCTCCACACACTATGACCCAGCCTGGAATCGAACCAGGGCTGCCGCTGAATTGATTGAAATGACCGCCTTTAAATGGTGCGGATGCGAGACCTCTCGCCACGGAGTCTTCCTATCCTACCGAGGTACATACTCTGCATTAGCAAGAACTTTAGCGAGCGGAGTCGAACACATGACTCGGAAGTTGGTTAAAATTTTGAATTTCAGTTAGTTGAGCGTTCAGGACGAGAGTACTAGTGCTGCTGCACGCGCGAGTCAACGCGGGATAAGGAGAGAACAAAAAACAGACTCTGACGTCTCATACATGACCCAGCCTGGAGTCGAACCAGAGCTGCCGCTGAATTGATCGAAATGACCGCCTTTAAATGGTGCGGATGCGAGACCTCTCGCCACCGGGTCCTTCCTATCCCACCGAGGTACTCTGCTTTAGTGAGGACTTTAGCGAGCGGAGTCGAACACACCTGAATTTGGTGTAAGTTTGAATTGCAGCTGGTCGAAGGCGGCGTTCACGGCGATAGTACTAGTGCTACTGCTGCGTGCGCGAGTCAACGTGGGATATGAACACAACAAGAAAAAAATCCTCACAGTCACAGTAATGACCCAGCCTGGAATCGAACCAGAGCTCCGCTGAATTGATTTAAAATGACCGCCTTTAAATGGTGCGGATGCGAGACCTCTCGCCACCGGGTCCTTCCTATCCCACCGAGGTACTCTGCTTTAGTGAGGACTTTAGCGAGCGGAGTCGAACGCACCTGACTCGGAAGTTGGCCTGAATTTTGAATTGCAGTTAGTCCAAGGTTCAGTGCTCAGCGTTCAGGACGATGGTACTAGCGCTGCGCGCGCCAGTCAACGCGGGATAAGAGGACAACAGAAAGAAAGAAAAAACTATTATGTGCCTTAATGACCCAGCCTGGAATCGAACCAGAGCTCTCGCTGAATTACCTTGCAACAAATGGAGGTGTTGCGGATGCGAGACCTCTCACTACCGGGTCGTTCTTTCTCTATGGCCGAGAGTGATGGTATTGACTGGATTTCGTGTTGCGCTGTTCCAAATTGCCTCGAAGATAGCATTTATTAATTGCATTGTGTCCAAAATAAAAAATACTCGGGCATCCGGGTTTCAAGCTAGTGCCAGCATGCAGGAACGGTGAATCTCGAGGGTGAAATTCAGGTTTCATGATCAGGACAATAGATTCAGAATGCGACATGAGATCGCACTTACGCTGAGGAACTTTTAAAAAAGGATTGAAGCTGGAAACATGACCCAGCCTGGAATCGAACCAGAGCTGCCGCTGAATTGGCTTTGGAGTGACATTATTCAGAGGCTGCGGATGCGAGACCTCTCGCCACCAGGTCGTTCTCTACTTGGTAGTGAGAACGCTGACATGTTGCGCCTGTCAGGATTCGAAGTCGAGCGCCTAATTTGCATGCATCCTTTCAAAAAAGAAAAAAAATACTAGGGTCCGGCATTCAATTATTCGCCGCCTTTGCTGAGCCGCGAGATCCTGACATGCCAAGGACATAATGAGGGCATAATGGGGCTGCCAAGCCAGGAACGTACTGTACATCACAGTTGCGGATTATAATCACTCCGTTTGCGGGCTCGGAGAGGGATTTGCCGTTTCGGAACGTTTTCCGGGTTCTTCATCAGAGTTCTTCACATGCGTGAGCAGCCCGTTGTTCGCCGCCAGACGAGTCTTGCAGATTCCGTCGAGTAGGTTGTTTCGAGAACGAGTTTTCTACACCAGAATTGCGAGGAAAAGAGCCAGGATAGAGGCCAGGATACTTTGCGTTGAGGCATTGTACATGGAGGTCAGAAGTAAAGACGGAATCAACGGATCAATTGCCTGAACAAAAGAAGCGAGCTTGTTTGTACGTATTTAATTCTGCCCCCATTGTCCATGTCTTGTTCCCACCCGTGGTGCCGTTGACGACCACCGCAAATCCACCTTGTACTCTTACCACGATGCTCATAACCCCCGCGCCAGTCGTGCCGCGGAGCGTCGACATCCCCCCGACAGCCACGTCCGGCGTCCCCGCTTCCCACATCAGCCACTCCCACCGGTGCGTATCCGCTTTTTCCCCGCATTTTTGCGTCTTTTCCTCGTCTCAAACTGACTATTCTATTCTCCGCAGCCCATCGCCCTCGCAGCATTTCAAATCCGACCGGTGCGTCCGCTCTACGCTCCTCTTGCATGCGTTACTAACGTAACTCCCAGCCAAAAGAAAGCCCCAGTGGGGCTAATCGTCGGCGTCGCCTTCGCCATCCTCGCAGGCGTCGTCGCCCTCTTCCTCGTCCGCTGGCTCTTCGTCCGCCGCGCACGCAGGCGCGCCGCCTTTGCCGGCCAGGGACGCACACTGGGCGGGCCCCCGCCCGCCGCCGATTTTTCGCGCTCCGGCAAGCAGCCGCCACTAGCGCAGCCGCAAGCGCAAGCGTACCCCGCGCCCCCGCAGGCGTATGCGATGCCCGCGCCGCAGCTGCCCCCCGCCTCGGAGCGCGACGCCGTCGAGCTCGGCGCCTACCCCCCGCCCATGGCCACACAATCGCCGCCTACGCACACGCTCGCCGGGTCCTGGTCGACCCCCTTCGCCGGTGCGGGCGCAGGCGCAAACACGGCAGAGCCCGGCGTGGGCTCGTCCCCCGCCGCCCGCCAAGCGTACTTGGCCGCGGAGCTGCGCGCGGCGCAGACGGAGCTGGAGCGCGCGGGGCGCGGGGCGGATACGCGCGCGGTCAAGGGGAGGATACGCGCGTTGGAGGAGCGGCAGCAGAGTGCGTGGGCGCTTGGGCTCGAGTAGGCTTCTGCTCTTGGATGGCGCGACGACGAACGATTTATCACGCATTTATTACGGGGAGTGAGGGGGAGGATTTTGTTGTGTGTACATTCATCCTATTGCTATTGCTATTCCTCCCTCCGCTCAACGACGACACCCGCACCCTACCTTACATACCCTCACCGTGGATTCATGGAATGAAATGAACTGTAAGGTATTACATTTGCAGTTTTACGTCTTTGCCTTGCGTGGGCTCTTAATCTGGCTTCAACGTTGTCAACTCACAAGATCTCATTCGGGCTTCTGTTGCTTCCTGCGCCTTTGGACTCTTTCTTACCGTTGACCGCCAAAAATTCCAACTCGTGCGTGCGAGCTGCAACACCGCGATGTAAGTACATCGTATCCCGACCTCAACACTCTCCAAGTACCTCGGACGTGGTGTACGCAACACGGCCTCTCTTCTTGGGGGCTTACTAGAGTGATAGACGGAGGGAAACCCGGGTTCGACTCCCGGCGTCCGAATGCGAGCGATAGTGTGAGCTCTTGGATTTTTTTTTCTTTTTTTTCTTTTGGTGAGTCTTCCTCTTCACACAAGGTCATCTTATTTTGCGTCTCGTTCATTGACCCTTCGAACCACACAGATACCTCGGGCGTGGTGTACGCAACACGGCCCCTTTCTCTGTCGCGATACAGTCGAGTACTTGCGGGAGGCAAACCCGGGTTCGATTCCCGGCGTCCGAATTATATGAGCTCCTTGGAAGTTCCTTTTTTTTTTTTTTGGAGGGGGGGGGGGGGGTGAGTCTTAATCCTCTTTGCGCGTGTATTTTCACCTCGTTTATCGTCCATGCGGACTACACAGATACCTCGGACGTGGTGTAGTGCAACACGGCCTCTAATCTTATCAGCTTACGAACATTCCAGAGGCAGTACCGGGTTCGACTCCCGGCGTCCGAATTTGACGTGCCCTTCTGACTTTTTCTTCTTGGTGAGTCTTCCTCTCCACACAACGTCATTTTATTTTCCGTCTCGTTTGTTGACCATTCGAACAAGGCAGATAACTCGGACGTGGTGTAGTGCAACACGGCTTCTTTCTGTGGTGGCAATACACACAGACGCGGGAGGCAATACCGGGTTCGAGTCCCGGCGTCCGAATTCTGCCGTGTCGATTTTCTTTTGGGAGTGTCTCTTCTTCATGTTATTTTCCGTCTCATTTATTGACCATTCGAGCTACGCAGATACATCGGACGTGGTGTACGCAACACGGCCTCTCTTCTTGTGGGTCGAAGCAGTGTACGGAGGCAATCCCGGGTTCGATTCCTGGCGTTCGAATAGGTGAGTTGGGACGAATTTTTTTCTTCTTCTTTTAGTGAGTCAGAAGTCTTAGTCTTCACACAACGTCATTTTGTTTTTTTCGTCTCGTTTATTGGCCCTTCGAACCACACAGGTATCTCGGATGTGGTGTAGTGCAACACAACCTCTCGTCTTATGAAGCTGTGAATCTTACAGAGGCAGATCCGGGAGTCGTGGTGAGTCAGAAGTCTTAGTCTTCACACAACATTATCTTCCATCCTCGTTTATTGGCGCTTTGAAGTAAGCAGGTACCTCGGACGTGGTGTAGTTCAACACGGCCTCTCTTCTTGGGGGTTGTTGAATGTACAGGAGGCATGTCGGATGTGGTGTAAGGTAACACAGCCTCTCATATGCGCGTGATGTTGAGTGATGTGCAAAGGCAATACCGGGGTTCGACTCCTGGCGTCCGAATTCTGCACTCTCGGTCGACCTTTTTTGTGAGTGTTCCTCTTCCTCTTCACGCAAAGTTATATTCCATCTGGCCTATGGACCTTTTGAACCATACCGATATCTCGGACGTGGTGTAATGTAACACGGTCTCTATGTTTGACATGGTGGACTAGAGTTATAGACGGAGGCAAACACGGGTTCGACTCCCGGCGTCCGAATTGGTACGTTCCACAGTTTTTGTCTTTTGTGCGTCTTACTCTTCGTCTCCACACAAGTCATTTTATTTTTTCGTCCCGTTTATTCACCCTTCGAACTACACGGATAACTTGGACGTGGTGTACGCAACACGGCCTCTCTTCTTGGGGGTTTTTGAATGTTCAGGAGGTAAACCCGGGTTCGACTCCCGGCGTCCAAATGAGTATTCACCAATTCGTTTTTTTCCATCTTGCGGAACTTCTCCTGGCATCATTCTCGCCGCTTCCCACTGGTATGGTGCCACCTCTGAACTCGACATCCACAGAAATATAAGTCCCACACAACACCATGGGCGATATCGGTGACTCTTGCTTTAGCCTTCACCTGATTCCCATCCGTATTTAGTGATAATTCAAACCATACAGGTACGTCGGACGTGGTGTACGCAACACGGCTTCTTTCTCTGTCCGATGTTCAGTACACTTATCGAGGCAAACCCGGGTTGGGTTCCCGGCGTCCGAATAAATGCTCTCAGAAGCTCTTTTTTTTTTTTTTTTTTTGGGGGGGGGGGGGGGGGGTGAGTGTATTCTTCCTCGTTATTTTTCATCTCATTTATCGACCATACCAACAAGGCAGATATATCGGACGTGGTGTACTGCAACACGGCCTCTCTCCCCTTAAGTCGAGATTCCGCGGGTTATAGGCGACAGATCCAGGTTCAACTCCCGGCGGCCGAATTAACTTGGAGATCGTTTTTTATTTTATTTTCCATCTTACCTATTGACCGTTTGAACTGCACAGATACCTTGGACATAGTGTATGCAACACGGCCTCTTTCTCTGCACTGGACGCATGTGTGCAGGAGGCAATACCGGTACCGGGTTCGATTCCCAGCGTCCGAATAGGAGGGTTCGGATATCTGTTTTTGGTGAGTCTTCCTCTTCGCACATGTATTTTTCATCTCGTTCATCGACGGCTCGAACCACACAGATACCTCGGACGTGGTGTAATGCAACACGGCCTCTTTCTCCGCGATCGAAGTCTGTATGCGGGAGGCAATACCGGGTTCGACTCCCGGCGTCCGAATTCGTCGGCTGTCCAGTTTTGTTGTGAATGTTCCTCTTTGCACATCTATTTTTCACCTCGTTTATCGACCATTCGGACTACACAGATACCTCGGATGTGATGTAATGAAACACAGTCTCTGCGTCTGAGACTGTGGGAAGTACGTACAGTGAGGATCCGGGTTCGATTCCCGGCGTCTGGATAAGTAGTTCGCCTCGGCCTTGTTTTGTGAGTGTTCCTCTTCCTCTTCACGCCAAGTTATATTCCATCTTGCGTATTGACCTTTTGAACCACACGGATATCTCGGACGTGGTGTAGTGCAACACGGCCTCTCTCCCCTGAAGTCGAGATTCGGCGGGTTATAAGCGGCAGATCCAGGTTCGACTCCCGGTGAGTCTTCTCGTTCCCTTCTGCTTAACTTTCACCCCGTTTATTGTCCATTCGAAGCACACAGGTACCTTGGACGTGGTGTAGTGCAGCACGGCCTCTCTTCCTAATGTTGCTGAAAATGTGCGAATTTATAGAGACAAACCCGGGTTCGACTCCCGGTGTCCGAATGGCGGAGGTTACACATTCTTTCGTGAGTCTTCCTCTTCACACAACGTCACTATTTTGCGTCTCGTTTATTGACCCTTCGAACCACACAGATGACTCGGACGTGGTGTGATGAAACACGGCCTCTCTCCCTGAATTCTATGCGCAAATTGTTATAAGAGGCAATACCGGGTTCGACTCCCGGCGTCCGAATTCTCCACTCTCGGTCGACCGTTTTTGTGAGTCTTCCTCTTCACGCAACATTATTTTATTTTCCGTCTCGTTTATCGACCATTTATTTTCCGTCTCGTTTATCGACCATTTGAACCACATAGATAACTCGGACGTGGTGTAAGGAACACGGCCTCTTTCTCTATGGTTGTAAGACATGTAAGACACGTGTATGCGGAGGTAATCCCGGGTTCCACTCCCGGCGTCCGACTTCTATGATCACCCCCAGTACCTTTTTAACCTTTCTTCGTGGCGTTCTCGCGAATCTCGCCGCGCCCCATGGCGCCATCCTGCGGCACCTCTGAACTCAATATTCACAGAAATATAAATCCCACATAACACCATGCCGCGATGTGGGTAAGTCTTCCCCCCACTCTGGCTCAATTTTCATCTCGTTTATTGACCTTTTGAACCACACAGATACGTCGGACGTGGTGTAGTGCAACGTGGCCTCTCTCCCTTAATTCTTCCAGTGAATCAAGAGGCAATCCCGGGTTCGACTCCCGGTGTTCGAATGCGAGATTCCCTTCGATGCCTTTTTTTGTCTTTTGTGAGTGTTCCTCTTCATGCCAAGTTATTTTCCGTCTCGTTTATCGACCCTTTGAACCCCACAGATGCCTCGGACGTGGTGTAATGCAACACGGCCTCTTTCTCCGCAATCGAAGTATGTATGCGGGAGGCAATACCAGGTTCGATTCCCGGCGTCCGAATGACATCCCTTCGTAGCTTTTGTTTTTTTTAAAAACTTCTCTTCGCTCTCCTCTTGGCGTCGGAAATTGTGTCATGCTTACCATCCCTCCAGAAATTATGTTGCCTTGTCGGGCGTGCCAGTAGGTGAGTCTTGATTCTTCATGAACGAGCTCAATCTCGTTTATTGACCATTCGAACTACACAGATACCTCGGACGTGGTGTAATGAAACACGGCCTCTCTTCCTATACCCTCGAAAAAGCGAATACTGAGGCAATACTGGGTTCGACTCCCGGCGTCCGAATTAACCGCCTCTAGATCATTTTTATCTGATCAATCTGTTGGGTCCTTTAGTATAATTTCTCTTCCTGACTTCTGACTGCTGGCAAAGTGCAATTTATCCCGCAGGAATTCATGTAAATCACCGCCCACAAGTGAGTGAGTCTTCCTGCCATTTCGTCATATTTTCGACCCCACTTAGTCACCCTTTGAACTACACAGATATCTCGGACGTGGTGTAATGCAACACGGCCTCTTTCTCTGCACGAGTTGACACACACGTATGCCGGAGGCAATACCGGGTTCGACTCCCGGCGTCTGAATGAGATGTGTGGTCGGAGGATTTTTGTTTTTGTGAGTATTCTTCCTCTTCAGGCAAAGTTATTTTCCCTCGCGTTCATTGACCAACTCGAACTACAGAGGTCAGTCGGACGTGGTGTAATGCAACACCGCCTCTCTTCCTAATCGAAAATCATCGAATACTGAAACAGTCCCGGGTTCAACTCCCGGCGTCCGAATGACGGAGGGTCACCGTTTTTCTTGTGAGTGTTCTTCCTCTTCACGCCAAATTCCACGTTGTTTATCGACCGTTCAAACCACACCATTGACTCGGACGTGGTGTAGTGCAACAAGGCTTCTTTCTGTAGGCGGTAAAACACACATGTGCGGGAGGCAATCCCGGGTTCGATTCCCGGCGTCCGAATGGTCGAGGTTGCTCTTAGATTTTTTTTTTTTTTTGGTGAGTGTTCCTCTTCACGCAGTCTTGTTTATCAACCATTCGAACCACGGTGATATCTCGGATGTGGTGTAATGAAACACGGCCTCTCTTCCTAATTCCCTCGAAAATCAGTGAATACTGAGGCAAACCCGGGTTCGATTCCCGACGTCCGAATGGGATTGTAGGTTGAGACATTTTTTCTTGGTGAGCCTTTCACGCAAAGTTATTTTATTTTCCGTCTCATTTATCAACCCTTTGAACCCCACAGATAACTCGGACGTGGTGTAATGCAACACAGCCTCTTTCTCTGCAGCAATTGACACACACGTATGCCGGAGGCAATCCCGGGTTCGAGTCCCGACGTCCGAATAGATAGAGGTTTCGAAAGTTTCTTTTTTTTTGTAAGTCTTAGTCTTCCTCTTCGCGCAAAGTTTTTTCATTTTCCGTCTCATTTATCGACCCTTTGAACCCTACAGATAACTCGGACGTGGTGTACACAACACGGCCTCTCCTCTTGTGGGTTGAAGCAGTGCACGGAGGCAAACCCGGGTTCGATTCCCGGTGTCCGAATGAATTCTTCCCCTGGCAACCTTTTTTGTGAGTATTCTTCCTCTTCTTGTATGGCGGTCACTTTGCACATTTATTATTCCGGGCTTTTTTTTTCACTTTTCCACCCTTTTTTTCAAGTTTTCAACTTTCTGTACTTTTTTTTTTCATGTTGCCTCTTCCAGCCACATTTTTTGTCTTGTGAACAGAGGTTGTCATTAGTTGTTCCATAATTGAAGTGAACTTTATATGAAGCAAGATTTCAACTATTTTTCTCGGTACGGGGGCTGTGCATGCCGACTTGCCGCTTGATGGCCTCGATCGGCACAATGTGCCAAGTTCACACATGTTGGTTCTAAAACTAGTCAAGTGTGCCTGTGAAGGGCTCAGTGCTCACCATACTACATAACAGCCTGCCGAGGTTAGCAGCAGGCTCTACCTCAGAGGCAGAGGTACAGGATCGATTGGTCCCGGCCATCAGTCAGTGATAAACCCCAATCTAGGGGTGCCGCTCATTCCTACTACCCATGCTCCATAAAACACATTGCCACCGATGTTTTGAAAGATTTCATGATCTTGAAAAAAAAACTATGGCAACATGAAAAAAAAAGTTCAACAAGTTGAAAACCCGAAAAAAAAGGTGAAAAAGTGAAAAAAAAGGTCAGAATAATAAATGTGCAATGTGACCGCCATATTCTTGTGGGTTGAAGCAGTGTACGGAGGCAATCCCGGGTTCGACTCCCGGCATCCGAATAATCAAGGATCCTAGACTCGAGGCAGTCGCTTTTCTGGACGGCGGGAATTGATGACAGTTGATCAATAGGCCGGCGGAAAAGCGACTGGAACAATCTGACCGTTGCTTAGTACGGTCGGAGTTTACCGAGGATGATTTTTTTGACTTAGAAAAATTTCGCATTTTGGAAAAATCTTGAATTTTAAATCCAAATTCTGAGGAGACAATTTTATTCTAAATGAAATTACAAGACCTCTCATGCGAGGTTTTTGGCTTTAAGTGAGTTGGGACCCCACTAGGCGCTTTTTACTATGAACTTTTGCTCTGCCGCCATTGCCGACAGACGGGAGATCAGTGAACAATCAACAATCTGACGATTGCAATCACATGGCCCTTGTTTTCGAGAGGTTTTTCGAGTGTAGTACGGGTAATACCCCATAGAGAGGCAAGACCGCTGCATGAAGAGTCTTGTAATTTTATTTAGAACAAAACTGTCTCCTCAGATTTTCAATACGAAATTCGAAATTTCTCGAAAACGCGGAATTTTTCCAAGTCAAAACAATCATCCTCGGCAAACTCCGACCGTACTAGCCACCGGTTAGATCAAAAGTTGTAGAGCGAGCTGCTGGTTCGAGCCTACGAGGATCCATCATCCCTGTGATTTTTTGTGAGTGTTCTTCCTCACCCGTTGTTTTCCGTCCCGTTTGCCGACTATTCGAGCTATACAGATAACTCGGACGTGGTGTACGCAACACGGCCTCTCTCCCTGGAACCCCAGTGCGGCAATTGTTATAAGAGGCAATACCGGGTTCAATTCCCGGCGTCCGAATGGAAGGTTCCACTGGAGTTTTTTTTTTTTGTGAGTGTTCCTCTTCACGCAGTCTCGTTTATCAACCATTCGAACCACACAGGTATGTCGGACGTGGTGTAGTGCAACACAACCTCTTTCTCTGTGCCGGCGGACTCGTATGCGGAGGCCATACCGGGTTCGACTCCCGGCTTCCGAATTCGTCGGCTGTCCTGAGCCTTTTTGTGAGTGTTCCTCTTCGCACATGTATTTTCCGTGTCGTTTATTGACACTTTTAATACAGCAGGTATGTCGGACGTGGTGTACGCAACACAGCCTCTCTCCCCTAAGTCCACGTGAGGCAATCCCGGGTTCGACTCCCGGCGTCCGAATGCGCGAGCCTCGCTTGTAAGGCATTTTTCCCTCTTAAACCCTTATTCTTTGCCTCGTTTATTGACCGTTTGAACCATAGAGATAACTCAGACATGGTGTAATGCAACACAGCCTCTCTCCCTGAAGTTGATATGGGAATTGTTATAAGAGGCAATACCGGGTTGTCCGAATGCAATCTCCATCAAATAACTTTTTGGAATCATTCTTCTCGATTATGTGGGTCCTTTACTTTCTCTTCCTAGCTTCAAGTTCTGACTGCTGGCGAACTCCATCCCCCAGGAATTCATGTAAACCATCACCACAAGTGAGTGAGTCTTCCCACACTTTATTTTTTACCCCTACTTACTGGCCATTCGAACCACACAGATACCTCGGATGTTGTGTAATGAAACACGATCTCTGTGTCTGAGAGGTGGGCAGTATCTACAGTGAGGCAATACCGGGTTCGACTCCCGGCGTCCGAATGTGAATTCCACAGTTGGTTTTTTTTTCTTTAAAAAAAAACCCCCCTTTCTTCGTGCCATTCGCTCGGTTCCCTATGGTGCAACCTCTGAACTCGATGTTCACAAAAATATAAATCCTACGCAACACCATCCGCGATGTCGGTGACTCTTGCTTTAGTTTTCACTTGATTCCCACCACACTTATTGACCATTCGAACTATATATATATATATCGGACGTGGTGTAGTGCAACACGGCTTCTCTTCCTAATGTCGCTGAAAATGTGCGAACTTATGGAGGCAATCCCGGGTTCGACTCCTGGCGTCCGAATGTGAGCGCTAGCGTGAGCTCTTGGAATTATTTTTGGGGTGAGTCTTGCTCTTCACGCTAAATTCCATGTCGTTTATCAACCCGTCGGACTCCACAGATAACTCGGACGTGGTGTACGCAACACGGCCTCCTTGTCTGCGAATACCTTTCCCGTACACTTATGGAGGCAAACCCGGGTTCGACTCCCGGCGCCCGAATTCCGAAGTCAGCTGTCAAGGTCTTTGTGAGTTCTCTTCGCGCCGTGTATTTTTCACCTTGTTTATTGACCATTCGGACTACACAGATACCTCGGACGTGGTGTACGCAACACGGCTTCTTTCTCTGCGGTTGGGAAGATACACCTATGCGGGAGGTTCGATTCCCGGTGTCCGAATGAGAATCCACGAACTCGCTTTTCCTTCTTTGTGGAACTTCTCCTGGTGTCGTTCTCGCCGCTCCCCATGGCACCACCTCCGAAGTCGATGTTCACAGAAATATGAATCCCACACAAGTTACAACGCCATGCCGCGTTGTCGGCGAGTCTTCCTTTAGCCTTCACTTGATTCCCACCGCACATATTAGCCCTTTGAACCACACAGATACCTCGGACGTGGTTCTCCTTGGAGAAGACCTGCCCAACGTACAGCCTCTCTCCCTGAAGTCCACACGAGAAAGGAAGATTATAGGAGGCAATCCCGGGTTCGACTCCCGGTGTCCGAATGTGAATGCACCAGTTGTCTTTTGTTTCTTCGTACCATTCTCTCGGTTCCCCATGGTGCTACCTCTGAACTCGACATCCACATATCTCACTCACATGCCTTCCTTCTACTCGTAGAGGAAGGTCAATCTTCACTTGATTCCCACCACATCTCGATACCTCGGACGTGGTGGAGTGCAACACGGCTTCTCTCCCTGGACTCGCTGCGAGCCTTAAAGGGGCAAACCCGCCGTCCAAATTCATCGGCTCTTAAGTGTTTTGTGAGTGTTCCTCTTCACGCCAAATTCCATATTGTTTATTTACCCTTTGAAAGTCGGACGTGGTGTAACGCAACCCGGCCTCACTTCCTGTTCCATTGGGCTCCTGCGAATATACAGAGGCAATAGCCGTAGATCTTCCCTTATATCCGTTTTCATCCTGGGACCCCACTTATTGGGCATTCGAACAAAGCAGCTGCACATATCTCGGACGTGGTGTAATGCAATACGGTCTCTCATCTTACCGGTCAAAGTCCTCCTGGCGTTAAAAAAGCTCAAAGTCTCTCAAGTACGTTCCTTGCATCCTTTCGCGCCGCTTATAAACATAATTACGGTTTAGTGTTCAGTTCCCGTGTACTCCCTAATTTCCGTCCCTGCATTTCTTCCATCGGCGACGCTGGCATAACTCACTGCTCCGCGACGACGACGACCGCCTTCGCGATATTCTTTCCCTGCTGCACCCGCAGAATCGCGTCTCCAACAGACTCGAGACCCTGACTGACTTCCTCCGTGTACTTGATCTCGCCGGCTGCAATCGCCTGTGGAATCGTGGCGTAAAACTCCTTGTCGTATTTGTCTTCCAGGTGGAAGACAAGGATGCCGCTGATGGTGAGTGATTTGGTCCACGTTAGGTGTATATTCTGGGAGAAAAGAATCATGCATAATTGGCAGAGATCTTGGAGGGGGTAACATAACATACCATGACGGGCTCATAACCAGTGTTGTAACCTGTGAGGGTCGGAGTGAAGTGCTGGCTTACGCGGGAACGTATACGTACCTGAGATTGTCCCGCATTCCTATAGGGGGTCATTAGAATGCAGTTCAAAATTCAGCGTTCAAGACACTGGAACACGCCAAGATGCGCCCGTTGATCGCCGCGTGCTCTAGAGCAGCATCGAGCATCTTTCCACCAACATTGTCCCAGTACCTTCCCGACCCCCGCATGGGTAAGCTGACCAGAGAGATGCACCGAATGGAGGTACATACACATCAATGGGCCCCTCACGAGCCAGGACTTCCCGCGTATCCGTCGTCTTGTAGTTGAAGGCGACATCCGCGCCGATCTCTCGCATGAACTTGACCTTCTCGTCCGAGCCGGCGGATGCAATGACTTTGAGGCCGTCGCGCTTCGCCAACTGGATCACCATGCTGTCGGCCAAATGTCCCTTAGTTCTATAGATTCGTGAACATAAATGGAATATATACGAGCCGACCGGACCTGGAAAGGTAGACATTAATCCTCGTGGATCCAAGCGACCAACGGAAAACCACACACCTGCCCCCGTTGATATGAAGGCCGTTTCACCCTAAATTAGATTTTAGCTGGATAAATTAGATAGTAGAAGAGCTCTAACTTTCTTCGCGCGGGAGAACTCTTTCCAGCCCATGAACGCGGTCTTGCCTAAGTATCCACTCGTGAATACCAACACTATTGCTGAAGTTATTCTCTTACCGGGCATCCCGGCCACACCGACAAAAACTGTCCACGGTAACTTGGGGTCGTTCTCGAGAAAGGTAAGCCTCTCCATACTGGGCAGGACGGTGTATTGCTGGTGAGCTAGTGCGAAGGAATCAGTCGAACAATCTTTCATACAGGTCCGGAGAAGAACTGACGCAGGACTCCGTAAACATGCTTCCCCGCCGCAACCTTGGGGTTTTCTGAGCGCAGGATGACGCACACGCCATAGCCGTCAATCCTGGGAACGGCTGTGTCAGCGTGAATGCAGAGGATGCGACGATGGCCCAACGCACGGTGCACCCAGAATGAACGCGTCCTGTGGGGAAACGAAACAGGTGAGCGGCGCCCGTGTGAAATGACCGATACGTACAGAATATGACTTTTCCTCGGCGGGACGCATCCTTCCTCGCATGTACGGATCGATCGAGAGGACGAGGGTCTTGATCAGGAAGCCTCCGTTGAGGGGCACGGTCTCGAGATCGATTTTCTGGGACGTATCATATACGATGGTCTCTCCGGGAATGGGAAAGTCTGAACGCCGAGTCAGTTCTGCTGAGACTTGGAAATGCACCCCGTGCACCTTTGGGAATTGCAGCAAACAGGGCGCGGGCATTCATTATTGGAGCCATGAGTCGCTAGAATTGTCTTCAGTGTCAAAGCGAGATCCACGGCCTTCTTATATGGTTGAACTCTTCGTCCGGGTATGCACGCACGGCGACGTCATAGTCGTCCAGCGCGAGAGAAAAAGGGCAAGTTCGGGGCGCGTGAGAATGTTTTCGACTTCTCCCGGCGGCCATGCAGCGAGAATCCAGACGCAGAATAACAGGTTGGGTGCCGTATACCATACGGGAAGCCTTACCAAGCCGTAGTATTACGGGGTTGAGAACAACGTCAGTAAAAGTGTGTCGGATTCAAAATGCTGGATCATACCTTCATTCACTTCTCTGTCTATGTCTTCGACCTCCATTATTCGTGTAAAATTCAATGTTCAGAGAAAGACGATTTGAAGACGATGGCGAGCAAGAGAAAGGTGATTGCATCAGTTTGGTCATGTTGACTTCCACCGTACGACATTCTCGTCATTCTGTGCCGGCCACCTGCAGCCACTCTCTTAGTCTCTCTCACTCTAACTTGGAACGGCAAGCAACCTCCACTCGCAGAACCGCAGCCGCAAAGGCGTGCGCGATGCCCGCGCCGCAGCTGCCCCCCGCCTGGGAGCGCGACGCCGTCGAGCTCGGCGCCGAGCCGCCGCCCCCGACGACGCACACGCCTGCGGCCGGGTCCTGTTCGACCCCCTTCGCCGGCGCAGGCGCGAACACGGCGGAGCCCGGCGTGGGCTCGTCCCCCGCCGCGCGCCAAGCGTACTTGGCCGCGGAGCTGCACGCAGCGCAGACGGAGCTCGAACGCGCGGGGTGGGGGGCGATACGCGGGCGGTCAAGGGGCGGATACGCGCGTTGGAGGAGCGGCAGCAGAGCGCGTGGGCGCTTGGGCTCGAGTAGGCTTCTTTCTGCTCTTGGATGGCGCGGCAATGGACGATTTATCGCGCATTTATTACGGGCAGGGAGGGGCCGGATTTTGTTGTGTGTACATCCATCCTATTGCTATTACTATTCCTCCCTCCGCCCAACGACGACACCCGCACCCTACTTTACATACCCCCGCCCGTGGATTCATGGAATGAAATGAACTGTAATGTATTGCGTTTGCAGTTTTACGGACGTCTTCTCCTTCGACTTGCGTGGGCTCTTCTCTTCAATCTGGCGTCAAATCTCAATTCTGCTGCTTTGGACTCTTTCTTGCCACTGACTGGCAAATATTCCCAACTTCCCAAATCATGGGAGCTGCAACCCGCCATGTAAGTACATCGCATACCCGACCCCAGCACTCTCCAAGCACCTCGGACGTGGTGTATGGCGCCACCTGTGAACTCGATATCCACAGAAGTATAAATACCATGCCGCGATGTCGGTGAGTCTTCCCGTTCCTTCTGCACAATTTCAGGTCGTTTATTGACCATTCAAACTAGACAGATAACTGGGACGTGGTGTACGCAACACGGCCTCTCTCCCTGGAACCCCAGTGCGGCAATTGTTATAAGAGGCAATACCGGGTTCGATTCCTGGCGTCCGAATGCGAGATTCCTTGTGATGCCTTTTTTTCTTCTTGGACCTTTTCTTCGTACCATTCGTTCGGTTCCCTATGGTGCCACCTCTGAACTCGATATATGCAAAAAGTCTGTCTCGTTAACCCAGCCGTTCTGGTGACAGCGGACCGCGCGGTCCACCGGACCGTCGGAGTTTGAAAATGGAGTGCAGAACCTGTCACCAGAACGTCTGGGGCACTTGGCATAGCAACACCCCCCATTGAGTCACACCGCCTGCCATTCGAGCGTTAGCCGAGGTCAGCCGCCCGCCAAGTGTGACGCGATGGGGGGTCCCACGCTCCAACTACCCCAGACGTTCCGCGTGTGATCTCTGCACTTCATTTTCAACTCCGACTGACAGACAGATCACACCGGAACGTCTGGGCAACCGAGACAGGCAAAAAGTACGAATCCCACATCAGCAAAAGCGCAAATCACGCGCGGACTTTTGATCTTGTGATGTCGCGTATCTCGCGTCCACGAGCATACGCGAGCACAAGCGAAGGCCGAGATTTTTGTGTACGGTCTCTACTGAGTGTATCCTCACACTCAGCCCATTTGTGAGTGCAATTATACTGGCCTTTGTCCACTCAACATTTTTTTGGCATGTGACACCATGGGCGATGTCGGTGAGTCTTCCCTCCGCTCTGGCTCATTTTCCATCGTGTTTATCAACCCTTCGAACCACACAGATAACTCGGACGTGGTGTAGTGCAGCACGGCCTCTCTTCCTAATGTCACTGAAAATGTGCGAATTTATAGAGGCAAACCCGGGTTCGACTCCCGGCATCCGAATTAGATCCGAATCTCCCGAGCTTTTTTGTAAGTCTTCCTCTTCACACAACATTATCTTCCATCCTCGTTTATCGACCATTCGAGCTACGCAGATACCTCGGACGTGGTGCAGTGCAACACGGCCTCTCTGCCTGTTAGATCTATTTCCTCCGGCAGAGGCAATCCCGGGTTCGATTCCCGGCGTCCGAATTCTGCAATGTCGACCTTTTTTGTGAGTGCTCCTCTTCGCGCGTGTATTTTTCACCTCGTGTATTGACCATTTGAACTACACAGATATCTCGGACGTGACGTACGCAGTTATTTTCTGTCTTGTTTATTGACCATTCGAACAAGGCAGATATCTCGGACGTGGTGTATGCAACACCGCCTCTTTCTCTGCAGGAATTGACACACGCGTATGCCGGAGGCAATCCTGGGTTCGACTCCCGGCATCCGAATTCGCCCCCCCTCGGTCGACCTTTTTTGTGAGTGTTCCTCTTCAATCCCGGGTTCGATTCCCGGCATCCGAATGAATGCTCTCGGAAGTTCTATTTTTGGGGGTGAGTGTATTCCTCCTCGCTATTTTCCATGTCGTTTATTGACCCTTCAAACCATATAGATAACTCGGGCGTGGTGTAGTGCAACACCGCCTCTTGTCATGCGAAGGGATGTTGAGAGTTTGCAAAGGCAATCCCGGGTTCAACTCCCGGCGTCCGAATGCGAGATTCCTTGCGCTGCCTTTTTTTACTTCTTGGACCTTTTCTTCACGTCGTTCTCGCCGCTCCTGTGACGCCACCTCTGAACTCGATGTCCACAGAAGTATAATCCCCACGCAACACCATGCCACGATGTCGGTGAGTCTTCCTTTAACCTTCACTTGACTTCGACCCTGCTTATTGGTCCTTTAAACTACACAGAGAACTCGGACGTGGTGTAATGCAACACGGCCTCTTTCTCTGGACCCCTGGCTTTATTGTATAAGGCAGTGCCGGGTTCGACTCCCGGCGTCCGAATTCTTCCCCCGTCGACCTTTTTTGTGAGCCTTCCTCTTCACGCAAAGTTAATTTTGCGTCTCGTTTATCGACCATTCGAACCGGGCAGATATCTCGGACGTGGTGTATGAAACACGGCCTCTTTCTGTGCGCCGTAAAACACACATGCGGGAGGCAATCCCGGGTTCGACTCCCGGCGTCCGAATATGGTGGCTGCGGTACCTTTTTATTCTTTTGAATCTCGATCTTTTAGGTCCTTCAACTTCTCTTCCTGACTTCAAGTTCTGACTGCTGGCCAGGTACACCTCATCCCGCAGGAATTTATGTCAACCACCACTCATCATTGTGCAAGTGCCATTTATGCATATTTTCGACCCCACTTATTGTCCATTTGAAGCACACAGATAACTCGGACGTGGTGTACGCAACACGGCCTCTCTCTCTGAAATCTATGCACGAATTGTTATAAGAGGCAATACCGGGTTCAACTCCCGACGTCCGAATTCTGCTCTCCCGAGCTTTTTCGTGAGTTTTCCTCTTCACGCGACATCATTTTATTTTTGTCTTGTTTATTGACCACCCGAATTACACAGATAACTCGGACGTGGTGTAGTGCAACACGGCCTCTTTCTCTGCAGGAATTGACACACACGTATGCGGGAGGCAATCCCGGGTTCAACTTCCGGCGTCCGAATTCTGCTCCCCCTAGTTTTTTTGTAAGTGTTCCTCTTCAGCAAAGCTATTTATATCTTATCTATTGACCATTCGAACCACACAGATAACTCGGACGTGGTGTACCGCAACACGGCCTCTTTCTCTGTTGCGATAAAATCGGACGTACTTGCGGGAGGCAATACCGGGTTCGACTCCCGGCGTCCGAATTCGAATGGACGCTTTATCTGGGAACTTTTTTAATCATTCTTCTCAATCGTTTGGGTTCTCTCTCTCGCCGAGTTGGCAACGCCAACGTTACAAGTTATCGCACATTTGCCCTCGCAGGAATTTTAAAATCACTTGCTTGTCGCAGGTGAGTCTTCCTGTCCCTTCTGCATTGACAATAACTTTCATTTTGTTTATTGACCTTTTGAAATAAGCAGGTACGTCGGACGTGGTGTAATGCAACACGGCCTCTCTCCTCAAGTATTCTTCTAGTGGATCAAGAGGCAATCCCGGGTTCGAGTCCCGGCGTCCGAATGAGAGGTGTACATAGTCGGAAGATTTTTGTTTTCGGTGAGTCTTGCTCTTCACGCTAAATTCCATGTCGTTTATCGACCCTTCGGACTCCAAAGATAACTCGGACGTGGTGTACGCAACACGGCCTCTGTGTCTTATGGAGGCAAACCCGGGTTCGATTCCCGGCGTCCGAATTCTGCCGTGTCGATTTTTTTTGAGAGTGTCTCTTCTTCGTTTTATTTATTGACCACTCGAATTACACAGATACCTCGGATGTGGTGTACGCAACACGGCTTCTCTTCCTAATGTCGCTGAAAATATGCGAATTTATAGAGGCAAATCCGGGTTCGACTCCTGGCGTCCGAATGTGAGCGCTAGCGTGAGCTCTTGGATTTTTTTTGGGGTGAGTCTTGCTCTTCACGCTAAATTCCATGTCGTTTATCGACCCTTCGAACTCCACAGACAACTCGGACGTGGTGTGCGCAACACGGCCTCTTTGTCTGCGAATACTTTTCCCGCACACTTATGGAGGTAAACCCGGGTTCGACTCCCGAATTCCGAAGTCAGCTGTCAAGGTTTTTGTGAGTTCTCTTCACGCACAGATTTTTTTCATCTCGTTTATTGACCCTTGGAACCACACAGATACCTCAGACGTAGTCTCTCGTAGACAAACAACGCTACAACAGACTTGCTCGTACCTCGCAATGTTGTACCTCGGACGTGGTGTATGAAACACGGCCTCTTTCCGTGGTGGTAATACACACAGATGTGGGAGGCAATACCGGGTTCGACTCTCGGCGTCCGAATAATCGAGGATCCATTCATCCCTGTGATTTTTGTAAGTTCTCTTCGCGCATGTATTTTCCATCTCGTTTGTTGACCCACTGAACCATACAGATACCTCGGACGTGGTGTAATGCAACACGGCCTCTCGTCATGCGCACGATGTTGAGTGATGTGCCAAGGCAATCCCGGGTTAGACTCCCGGCGTCCGAATGGCATGCCTTCGTAGCTTTTTTTTAAAAAAAACTTTTCTTCGCTCTCCTCTTGGCGTCGGAAATCGTGTCATACCTACCATCCCTCCAGAAATTCTGTTGCTTTGTCGGGCGTGCCAGTAGGCGAGTTTTGATTCTTCATGCACAAGCTCGATCTTGTTTATTGACCCTTCGAACCACACAGATAACTCGGACATGGTGTATTGCAACACAGCCTCTCTCCCTAAAGTTGCCATGGGGTTCTTATGAGAGGCAAACCCATGTTTGACTCCCGGCGTCTGAATTCGTCCCCTCTCGGCTCTTTTTGTTTTTGTCGGTCTTGCTCTTCACGCACAGTTATTTTTCATCTCATTTATTGACCCTTGGAATCACACAGATACATCGGACGTGGTGTAGTGCAACACGGCCTCTCTTCTTGTGGGTTGAAGCAGTGTACGGAGGCAATCCCGGGTTCGACTCCCGGCGTCCGAATAATCGAGGATCCATCATCCCTGTGATTTTTTGTGAGTGTTCCTCCTCACCCGTTTTCCGTCCCGTTTGCCGACTATTCGAGCTATACAGATAACTCGGACGTGGTGTACGCAACACGGCCTCTCTCCCTGGAACCCCAGTGCGGCAATTGTTATAAGAGGCAATACCCGGTTCGATTCCCGGCGTCTGAATGGAAGGTTCCACTAGAGTTTTTTTTTTGTGAGTGTTCCTCTTCCTTTTCACACAACACTATTTTATTTTCCGTCTCGCTCATTGACCATTCGAACCACACAGATACCTCGGACGTGGTGTAATGCAACACAGCCTCTCTTCCTAATTACATCGAAAATCAGCGAATACTGAGGCAAACCCGGGTTCGACTCCCGGCGTCCGAATGAGCATGCACCAACCGGCTTTTTTTCTCTCTCTAAAACTTTTCCTGGCGTCGTTCTCGCCACTCCCCATAGCACCACCTCTGAACTCGGTGTTCACAGAAATATAAGTCCCACACAACACCATGCCGCGATGTCGGTGAGTCTTCCTTTAGCCTTCACTTGATTCCCACCGCACGTCTTGGCCCTTTGAACTACACAGGTATGTCGGACGTGGTGTATTGCAACACAGTCTCTGTGTCTGAGACTGTGGGAAGTATGTACAGTGAGGCAGATCCGGGTTCGATTCCCGGCGTCCGAACTTGAATAAAGGCGACTTCGATGCTCTTTTGTGAGCGTTCCTCTTCATGCAAAGTTATTTTCCATCTCGTTTATCAGGCGTATACGGGGTTTTGATACATCAATAGGCCTGGGTTTAAAGAGATGCACTGATATATCAATTCCTCTGAATCAGAGAGGTGGTTGATATATCACTCTAGAGGACCTTCCACATTTGGATTGCGCCACGCGCCCGCTGCCGCGCACACCGCTGGCGGGCGTCGCGAGCGCTGTGGTCCGTGCACGAAGGCGCTCCGCCTTTCCCAAAAGGGTCAAATTTTGTACTTGTTATGATCACACACCCTCGCTTCCCCGTTTCCTTTTCGTACCCTTTCTGCCGCTCGTTCCTCCTCCTGGCGCCCTATAACCCTGCCCTTCGGTCACAACATACCTAGGTCTTCACTACATCGCCCTCCACCACCACCTCCGCCGCTCGTGCCTCCAGCATGCTCCAATTCTTGCCGCGCTCCGTCCCGCCCTCACCCGCTCTGGCTTCCTCGCGCGGGCCCCAATAGCTCCGCCCTTTGGTTCCCGCATACCCAAGCCTTCGCCACATCGCCCTCCACCGCCGCCTAGGTCCCCCGTGCCTCCAGCACGCTTCAATTCGTGCCACATTCCGCCCCGCCCGCTCTGGCTTCCCTCCGCGGCCCACGATAGCCCTGTATTTCCCCACCGCATCGCCATACCTTCGCTACCCACTCCTCCACATCGGTTGCTGCGACCGCCATGCTTCGCCGCCTACGCCGCTCGGTCGCGCGCCGTCCAATCCGGCACCGCCCTCCAATTCAGCACCCTCCGGCCTGTCCGCTGCTGTGCACCTCGTGTTGGCACTTCCCGCGGGTCGCGCACTCAACCTGCTGCCCTCGACCCTCCGGTCCTATAACGAGGAAAGACGGGTCAATCCCCTCTTTCATTGTTTTTCTTTCCAATTCATCCACTATGCACCACCAGATCGCACTCGCTAGGGTCAGTTTGTTGTCGGCTACCAACATTCACATACACTCGTTAGTTCCTTTGGATCCCCTGAATATATATTTTCTTTCAGACTTTGTTCTGCTCGACCCCTCTTCCGGATACGCGGAATGCTAGCGCAGAGACGAAGAACTCCGTTTCCTATAGCGAGCTCCCAAAGGAAATCGAAAAAAAGACGTTCACGATGCAAAATGAAAATGGCTGAGTGAAATTGTGCCCTGAGCTGGAGTCGAACCGGCAACCTTCCCCCATTTTGCCTTCCACAGAAAACTACGAAGTCCAATCGGGAACTTTGCCCTGAGCTGGAGTCGAACCGGCAACCTTGCCGTATTTTGCCTTTCCCAGAAGACTACCAAGTCCAATCGGGAACTTTCGTCCATCTTCCTTCTGCACCATGACCATCACCGGTACGTCCTGTCTCAAACTAACCAGACAAGATGCATAACATAAGACTTATTTACCTATGCGACAGACAGTAACCAATCCAGTTCCCTCCAGAACGCAGAGCAGTACGCCGATATGAATTTCGTGCTTATGCAGTGAGTGCCCGCCAAGATCCACCAAGCCGCAAAGAAGAATTAAATTACCGGCAGCATACAGAACATCAAATATATGTTCTTCGACAGCACATACGTGCTCAAGAAACATTCTTCGACGCCACTTAGGCCTGAGAAGTACGAGGCGGACGAGGACGACGATTTGCCGGAGTTGATTCCGATGGAGGCAGACACTCAGATTCGGGCCAAATTGTAGTTGAATGCGCTTCATTGATAGTATATACAATATAGCATGATCTACTGAGCTGCCGCACTGACTGCATCGCGGGTTCGTCAGCATCGATATAACAGTGTCAAGAAATATAAAGCTTACGCGACGAGGATTCCGGGGACGCGGGGCATGCCCCTGCAAAACGTCTCTTATCGGCGGCTGCGCAGGCAGCTGCTTTGCGCTTCAAGGCCCTCTTGTGGTGCTCGATGCGCACTTTGCGGCGGTCGGCCCACATCCTGTCCTATTGCAGGGTCAGTACGCTGGAAGATGAGGAGGGAGCGAAGGCCTACATTCTCCCTCTGTTCCTCAGGAGTGAAGGTGTGGCGCCTGTTGAGGAGATAGTCGTGGTAGTCTCCGGTTTCACGCATCCCGGGACCCATTTCCTCGCGCCCGGCCATAACGTCGTGAATGTAGCGTGCGGAGGACCACTCCCTCTCAACTTGCTCCCCGTCGGTCATGCTACAGTATCGGTCAGCCCGGGACGGCGTCGCAGCGAGCAACAAATACTCGCATGTGAGGTGTGAATTCGATTTCGAATCGGTTCAAGGTCGAACGCCGACGCTGAAGCTCTTGCTCCGGATCTCCAGTTTGCCAGGTGAGGTCGTCCCAGGAGCGTGACTCGCCTGCGGGAATAAGGTCGTCGCTGAGGCGATCTTCCTCATCGTCCTTGCGCGCCCCGGGGTCCTTGAGGTACCTCTGGAGGGCGTTGGTCCATGCGGTGGTCCAGTCGTCGTCGTCCTGCGGGGTGTCCATGCTGGCTGGTGGATGGAGCTAATCTGCGGGGCCCGGCCCATGTACAATCAGAAATCACTAACAAATACGAAGTAATTACACCTACTCCAAATGGGTATCGACGAGCCCTAGTTTCAAGGATCTGCAGACCCCAAATCAGCATCTAACAGGAACTCAATCACAAGATAACGCATGTGAATTTGTAGAGAAGCTACGCGAGTTTCTAACCGGAGCTTGAGGAGGCGCGGGAGGAAGGGCGGGAGACGTCGACACCACTGGCTGTTAGTGCCATGCGGAACGAGATGGCGGCGCGCGGCCGGTCGTAGGTGCACGGGTGGAGTCGCGCCGCGATGAGTTGCTCCGCACGGGACCCGCCATGGCCGCACCCACAGAAATCGATTGCGACGTCGTGCGCGCTGTCCGTGTCGATAATAATGAAGTGGTTTTGGGCGACGATCGACGGGCATACAGTTTTGAGCGGGTGTCCGAGACGAATTCGCATGCCGATACTTTTGAGGTCCACCTTGGAGAACTGACCCTGGTCCCAGCGCTTCGGCGATGATTAACCAGCTCCAATCTCAAGAAATAAAGGGACAGTACCTGGATTTGATGCAGAGGCACGCTCTCATGAGCTCGCAACGTGCAGTCATCGCACAGGAACTGCACGCCGTAACAATCAAGGCAGCGGCATCGCGATTCACGCGTGCAGCCGTCGGCGCTGCATTGGTCTGGGATATCTTGGCGCGTAGGGCCGCGTGCGTCCAACTCAACAACCGCCTCACACAGCATATCCTGCAGAAACCCGCCCTGTAACGTTGAGCTCTGGTAGTGAACCAAAGTTGTGCGTACTCACCAGATTCATTTTAATGTCATGGAAGGGCGGCATGGTGGAGGTCGAATTGAAGCCGAATTAGGAAGGTGGAAGCCTTCGCCGTGTGCGTGATACAGGAACAAACAACCTTCACCCTTCGACGTCGATGGCCAAACGTTCTGCAAAACGCCGCCGTGGTCCCTCCCCTCGCATCTACTACCTTCCGAAAGATGACGAGCCCCGTGAGCCGTGGTTCATGTCCTCTGGCGGGATTATGTCTCTTAATTGGTACGTCGCTCATTTTATTCATGTACCGGCCTCTGAATTTCGTTTCAGTGCTCGAATCTTTGAATACGACGACACTGACTACTATGAAGGCGAACTGCCACCAGACGATGACTACACCGACTTTCCTACATACGCGGCCCCACAACCGGAGATTCTCGCCAAGTGGCTCCCCCTCTGCTTCCCCTACCTCTACGAGAAGACTGCGGGCCAATTTCGTCAAGTCGCACCGATTTACTTCGTGGTCGAAGGTAGTGACGATGTCTTTAAGGACGACATGTGCGTAGCTGTACCTCCACATTATTTCTTTCTGTGTGTCTAATATTACTTTAGCTGGCCCGCCTACCAGCACTATCGAGCCCAGTGGCGCGCGGGTCACATTCGATACGACGCCCTTATCGCCGCCGCTCACACGCCTGCGGACGCCCTCGCCAAAATCGGTCGTCGCCCGCCGTCACCACCCGCCATCGCCGTCGCCGCCGACGGCTGAAGCCGCGCCGAGTCCAACGATCTAAACTTCCTCGACAACTCTTTACCAGCAACGTAGCATCCTCTGTACTATAGCGCCCGAAGCCAAATATATTCACTGCCTACTCTTGTTAATCTCCTCGATGCGAGCGCGCGTTTTCGCATCCAGTCCAGTCGTCGCCAACGGCCCCTTCCACCCCGGCGGTGGAATGAGCCACGGTTTATTCCTTCTGTACTCTGTCGCCTCCCGCAGCCGGTCAATCTCCTCGATCGCCGCGTTTCTTCTGCGCGCGAGCTCCTGTGCCTGCTTCTCCACCGCCAACGCGGCGTCCGTCGGCTTTGTGTTTTGTGGGGCGGCGACGAGGTTCACGCCCAGCCAGCGGAGCATTTCGGGGCTGGGATCACCAACGAGCTTCCCCTCCACCCAATCGATCGCCTCTGAAGGTATGCTGAGAGGGCGGCATTCCTTTTTCAAAGCTGACTCACCTCGCTTGAATTGGCGGTCGGTCTCGGTCATGAGGTCGGGTTCCGTTTGTGTGCAAGCGTCGGGCATTTTGTATTTTGTTTTCTGGCAGGTATACAATGTACGACTACTAATATACCTCCTCAGGCGCAAAATCAAAGCAATCAAGATCCTTCGGGTCGTCAG